TCGTTGCCAAACAGTGATTCCTCTGAAGGATCTTGGATAAGTAAATTGAAAACCTTCTGGAAAGGATTCACCATTCTAGATGCCGTTAACACTTGGGATTCATGAGGAGAGGTCAAAATAGCAACATTAACAGAAATTTGGAAGAAGTTGATTCCATCCCTCATGGATGACTGAGTGGTTAAAGACTTTAGTGGAGGAAGTAATTGCAGATGTGGTGGAAATAGCAAGAGAACTAGAATTAGACATGGAGCCTGAAGATGTGACTGACTTGCTGCAATCTCATAAAATTTTAACAGATGAGAAGTTGCTTCTTATAGATGAGCAAAGAAGGTGGTTTCTTGAGATGGAATCTGCTCCTGATAGGGATGCTATGAAGATTGTTGAAATGACAACAAAGGATTTAGAGTATTACATAAACTTAATTGATAAAGCAGCAGCAGAGTTTGAGAGGATTGACTCCAATTTGAAACAGTTTCTACTATGGGTAAAATGCTATCAAACAGTATCACATGCTACAGAGAGATCATTCATGAAAGGAAGAGTCGATCAATCTGGCATGTCTTATTTTAAGAAATTGCCACAGCTATCCCAGCCTTCAGCAACCACCACCCTGATCAGTCAGCAGCCATCAACATTGAGGCAAGACCCTCCACTGGCAAAAGGATAACTACTCACTGAAGGCTCAGATGATGGTTACCATACTTTAGCAATAAAGTCTTTTAAAATTAAGGTATGAGTCTTAAGGTATGAGTCTTAAGACATAATGACATCGCACATTTAATGACTACTGTATAGTGTAAATATAACTTTTATATGCACTGGGAAACCAAAAAATTCACATGACTTGCTTCATTGTGATATTTACCTTATTGTTGTGGTCTGGAGTAGAACCAACAATATCTCCAAGATATGCCTGTACTTATATGTAACATGTTTTTGTAACATGAAAACTTTGTATATTTTGAAATTTAAAATGATGTCAATATCTGAAAAATTCATCATTTTTAGCCTATCATCTGTCTTCCTGTATGAGTTAGGGTTTAATCAGGGGAAGTAGAACCACTTTGACTATTGAAGGGGAGCAGAATATACCACTCCATGGCATGTGGATTTTTTTCAGCTGAAGGCAATTAAGACCCAGTAGACTCAGGAAAAGCTTTTTACCTCTCCCTTAAGTGCCTAAAAAATTAGAAAGGGGGTCTGTACTAGGAAGAGAGCTGTTATCAGGGATAACCTTTTCTATTTGTGCAACTTATCTGCATGACAGGGCTTGCATTTGTTTACCAAACGTTTGCTCTTCTCACCTTGTGAATTGCTTTCCTCTGTTTTGGAGTCCCAGAGCCCTATTCTTTTCTTTCTCTAAGGATGGTATATAAACTTCAGTTGCCTGACTGCCTTTAGGTGTCATATCTTTGTGTGGCCCTTGTACATACAAGATTAACTTTGTTTTTCTCCTGTTAATCTGTCCTTTTATTACAAGGGGTCTTACCCAAGGGCATAGAAGGGTAGAGGGAAATTTATTTTTCTTCCTAACAGTATTGTGGAATAAAGGATTATGAGAATAAGACCTTCCACAGTACTGACAAAAGCTGTACAAGGGTCTAGAGTAGGAATTGGAGGATCAGAAAAATTAACAGTCCTTTCTACTCACCTGTTGGCACAGGCAGGCCAGTAGGAACTTGGAAGAAAATGTGGGAAGCCTGGCACTTCCAGCTGCTGGAGTGGGACAGCGAAGGAGAGGTGATGGTGGGTGAAGTCTGGAAGGCTGTGTCTGCTGGTGGGCTGGCAAAAAGAACTGGACAGCAGAGCAGGAGAGAGGAGGGACAAGCTGGAACTCGCCAACACTTTGAGTAATGGCTGCTGTTCTACTTCCATTACCAAAGTTCACTTAAATTTCTTTTTTGAACAACAAACTCATAACCAGAGAAGGGGATTCCAGGAAATATAGCTTCAACGTTCCGAGGTGTTTACAGTACAATACAATCATAGCTCACATTCTGGCCCCAGCTGGCTTTTTGCTATACTTTTTTTTGTTGACACACCACTTATTTGTAGGCTTCATTTCGGTTGTAGTTTATGACACTATCTAGGCTGTCACTGCACCCGTCCCTGTGGGGCATGAGGATCTTTGGTTTGGTCCTATAGATCTGGAATGAATTTGAGGGATATTAGGATAACATAATTTCTGCAGTCTTTCAAACGTTTGCCGTATTTATATAACTATAAAAAAGTCATGACTGATACTACCCATGTATAGCAGTTTCCTTTAATTGAAGTAGAATTTTCCTGTTAACTAATATGAAATGAGAAATTTTCATAATATTTTCACTGTCCAGCTTAACAGGGACTAGAAACATCCACAACTAACTAACAGGTGTTCACTTTTAACTTAATTTTCTTAACAGTGTTAATTCTGAACAATGTTAATTCTGAAGCCTTTTCCTAAGTCAATTAAACGTTATAATTTGCAATACTCATTTTAAACCTAATCTATCAATATTCCAGAACTTATTTTGAAAAATCGTATAATGACCAAGGCTATAGACTATTTTCTAAAAACATTAAAATTATTTTAAAATTCTGAAAATGTAGAAATAAAGCATAGTACTATGGAGAAAATTAAAATAACCAGTAATCCTACACAAGCCTAATTACTAAACATTTTGGTATATTTTTTTCTGATTTTTATCTTATGTGCATAACTGTTTTTGATCCTTTTTCAAATAGCATCATATTATGTAGCTTTTATATGTACCATTAAATATTCAAACACATGTTTACTAATAATTGCACAGTATTATGAGTATCATAAATTAAATCATATGAATATCATAAGTATTGTGTATTTTTGGTACTACAAAACAATTGCAGCAAATATCCTTGTTTTCCTTTTTGTTCTTTGAGTAAACCAAATATTTATGATGCTTATGGTAGAAAATTTGAAAAATATAGAAAATAAGATGGTAACCTCCAGTCATTGTTTAAATTTGATGTATATATAGCCAATCCTTTTTTTCTTTGTATGTGTGTATATTTTAACACATAGTATACTATAATATAAATATTCTACTAAATTTTTGCTTATTTCTTGAGTATAAATTTCTAAGTAGAATTATTTCTTCAATGTAAGAACATTTAAAAGACTCTTCATACACATTGCTAAGTTGCTTTCATTTATACTTTTATAAATTTATACCCTGTAAAATGCTTTTACTTTGAAAGGTTATATGTTATTTGTTGTGTGGCCACTGCAGTCAAATTTGTTGACATAAATTATAGTTTCTTATATCCTAGATTATATCTCTATTTAGCTCTCCTTTAGCTGGTCAGTAAACTTGGCTCATGTATATCTTCAACGTTACAAAAAAATGAAACAAAAATAGGAAGTCTGTGTTCTATGATTTTTGTGTATAGTTTTCTTTTGCCACAAATTTCTCTTTAGTACCAATAAGGTAAGAAAATGAAAAGTATATTTTTCTGTCACATAGGTTAGTATCTTTTAAACCTAATAAAGTACTTTAAAAGAATTATTTAAAGTATTGTTTTGAATAAATAGTAAATATATACAGTATATTTCAAATTCAGTATAATTCACATTAAAAAATCTCCCCATCCCAGTCTCTTATATGCCCAGTTCTCTTCCTTGGAAGCAACCATTTTAGTATTGTCTTATGTATCTGTCCAGAGATATGTAGTCTTTATATAAATTTGTATGTATACATGTACACAGTAGGTGGGTAGCATAGTAAACACACAGTCTGCACTTGAGATTGCTCTGTAACTGTATGGAGAGGTAGCTGCCTAATTCTTTTTAAAGGCTCCATAGCATGCATTTGTATGAATGACTATAATTTATTTAACTAGTCTTCCACTGATCATTTCCAGTCTCTTGCCATTACAAATGACACTGCAGTGACTCTCCTCTGTATTTCATTTTGCTTGTATGTAAATATTTCTGGAACAAGAATTACTGTGTCAGCATGTATGCTTTTAAAAATGTGTTATCAGATTGTTTTTCCTAGGCTCTGTAGTAGTTCATTCTCCCACAGTATGGCTTTTCCTCTCACTCTAGATGTGACAGGATATCAGGCTTCTTGATATTTGTCAATTTGGTTAAAAAAAAAATCTTGTTATAGTTTTAAGTTTTAAATTGAATTGTAAAAAAAAGCATTGTTCCCATGTGAGGTTTAAAGTGTTGTCCTTAAAGGAATGTATTAAGTATGGTGGTGCCATTAGCCCTGATAGTCGTGTATAAGAGACCTGGGATATTACACTGTAGTTTAAAATATGTTCCCTCCAGGTGTTATATTAATCAGTAATATATTACATGAGCAATGAGACTTGATTAAGTTATGACATGTGAAGCCTTAAGTATATGTGCAAGTTTTTCACAACTGTATGACATATAAATCTGTCATTTTATAATCTGGCCTCAAACTGCTTGTTCTTCCTACTGCCTCATCATTTCTTTAATCAGCCTTTATTCTGCTCATGTTTAACATCTTAATATTTTCAAATATTCATTGCTGCACTTTAGCTTGTACTATTTTCAGTATTCTCATGCCCCTTTTTCTTGGCATACGTGAAGGCCTAGCTCAAATACCACCTTTTTTTCAAGTTGTTGGTAGCTACTATAGTCAGAATTATTTGCCCTCTATATTCATCTCTGCTTTATAAGCATCTAATATATTGCTTGGTATACAGTAATAAATTAAATGATTTAAGAGTATTTCATAGTTCAAGTAATCCTAGGACTGGGTTCTGTTCTAAACCAGCTGACTCAGTTCACTTAGAAATAAGAATTAAAAAGGTTAAGAGATACATGGTTTGTTTTGGAATTGTCCATGTATGAAATCTAAATAACTTTGTCAGGTGTACTTAATTATCCATTCAATTAGTTACCATTAACATTGCATGAAAGATTTGTGTTTGATGTAGATGTTTTGATGTTGCCTTGTGACAAAATCTTAATGAATTTTATTCTAAAATTATTTACACAGAGGATGTCCAACCATACAGCTGCAGCAGAAGTACTATTGGAAAGAAAAGGTTGTGCAGGAGTGATAACACTAAACAGACCAAGGTTCCTAAATGCATTGAGTTTTAATATGATTCAGGACATTTATCCACAGCTAAAGGTTGGTAATTTCTTAAAGCAATGTCTTTTAAAAATATATCTTAATAGTACATTTCTGGCATTCTCTCCCATAGGGTCATTGGACTCTGGATCAGTGCCCAAGCCCCATCGCTTTTTCAGTTTCATTGCTTTTCCTATGTGGTTATCCTGAAGCACCCCTAGTGACAGGGTGTTCATTGCCTCATAAGACAGCCCCTTCCACTTTTACATAGCTCTAAGTTTCTTCTTGTGTTCTGTCATTCTTTATTTCTCTGGCCTTTTAACTGATAATACTGATTCTACCTCTTGGGGTGTGGGTGTACAAATCTAATCTACTTCCACATGACAGCTTTTTGGTTTGAAGACAACTGTATTTTAACTGCTTGGCTAGCCTTTTCTTAGAGAAGGTTATAAGATCTATTTTAAGTGAACTGCATGGTACAATGGAAAAGCATAATTTACAGTCAGACTGCTTGTGTTTGAAACTTGGATTTCTATTTATTAACTGTAGGTTGGGAATGCTAATCTCTTGGTGTCTTATTTTCATCAGCTGTGAAATGATAATATTTCATAGGATTGTTGTGAAGATGAAGTGAAATAGTGTACCTAATATGGTCAGCCACATAGGCATTAAACAAATATTAGTTCTCCCTTGGTCACCCGTTCCTTAATTTTTCATTTGATGGGTCTCTTTTCCATTCTGCTGTTTAGAACACCTTATAAATGTGTTGTTAAATGTGATATAGAGAAATAAGCCAAGTGTTCGAGATTAGAGTTGGACCAGAGTAGAAGAAAGTAGAAACTTCCATGTTAGAATGCCATGTTTCTCTTAACGTAGTCCAGTATTGCATTAACCTTCTGGAGAACCACATCTGTCCAGCTACATTTTTTCCTTGCACATTTATATTTTTATCCTCAAGTGTAGACTTTATAGAGCCCTTGTTAATTTTTCTGTCTCTAGTCAACTAATTTTTTATTTGGTTCATCATTCTAGTCTTTTGAATTTACAGTGGCTCTTGATTCTTTCATCCTACTTAATTATTTGCTATTCTTATCAACCCCTAATCAATTCCAGATTTGACCTATATAAGTGTCTTCACTCTGTTACTTATAAATAAATTTGTCAATAGGACAGAACTCTGTCACCATAGTGTAAAGGTTATTGCTCTAACAGTAATCTTTGGATTAATTCATTCACCAGGTTTATAAGCTTATGTAACATGTATTATTAAGCCCATATTTTTTACCTTGGTATCAAACTTGTCATGGCAAAGATTTCAGATGCCATCATGAAATTTGGATCACAAAATGTATTCGCCTAGCAACTTTGTTGGAATAGCCTCTAATTTATGTCAAAAAATAAAATGAAGTTGTGATCCATTTTTCTGGATATGCATTATAAAGCTTATGCTTTATGGATATCCATATACTGTATTCATCTATACACATATATGTATGTACATACGTGTATGTGCATGTAGATATATTTTTAATGAGTTTGTATTGATAATATGCTTATACTGTCTTTTTAGAAGTGGGAGCAAGATCCTGAAATTTTCCTGATCATTATAAAGGGAGCTGGTGAAAAGGCTTTCTGTGCTGGGGGTGATATCAGAGGTAAAAACTTCCCTCTCACCTAAATGTTTTTTTTCCCCAGTAGAACTGATAAAGTATTAGCAAAGTTTTGTAGTACTTCATAATTTGCTTTACTTTTTAGAATTTTTTTTTTAAAGTTAATATATTCTTATATAGTTAACTTAGAAAAAGGAAAAATTTAAAGACTTTTGTAGTTAATATTGAAAAAATGAGAATAGTGATTTTGATTTTTTTTTTTAAACTGCATATATGCCCTTCAGATATCTTGTCTCTCTCCATGAATTATCCCAGGCAAAATGTCCCATTATGGTATGGACATGTGAGTCCACTTTCTATTTTAGAATAGCTGATATTAAGCAGTTTAGTTTGTTGCATAATCTGACAATTTGGTCACATTGAGTAACTTCCCATTCTCCAAATATGACATGTTCTCGCATATTTCCATGATTTTGTCTGTGCTTTCCTATTGTTCATGATCCCAAAGCCAGAATGTACTTACTATAGCATTTGATCTATTGACAATATTTGTTTGTATGTGTTTAAATAAACGTGCTGAGATAATAAGATTAATTCTCATCTTTCTAATTGTTCAGGTCAGTCTGTCTTAAACATTTGACTTTTAAAGACAGAAGAAATGTTCTCAAGATCAAAATTACGTATTTATCGTTATCACTACTGGTCATCAGTATTTTATATCTACTGAAAACTTTTTACATTTTGTTTTTTACAGAGTTGGTCGAGTCCAGAGATGGTTTTTCCTTTTTTCTTTTTTTAATTTTGTATATTTATTTATTTTTTTGTATTGTGTTAATAATGTTTGGGTTGATCTGTTTACTAAATTTACAAGTTTATGTAAAATATTACATTTGGAATAGGAAGAAACAAGTTTGATTCAAGACATAATTTCACATTCCTATTAAATTTAAAAGTCTTAAAATCGCAGTTTAAATTTTTTGATAGACTGATTTTTTAACTGAATTATTTTTGAATTTATTATTTTGCCCACAACGTGAATATTTTTAAAACATTGTTTTTTCATCCGGGTATTAACCTTTCCTCTGGAGTTAGGCCTATGATCTTGTCAATTTACGGATGGGCAGAGCCTTATGTATTGGCTTTTAGCTTCTTACTGTGAGCTGTTTTTGCTTATAGGCCTAACTTTATATTGATGATTGGAAATACAGTTACAGATTCTAGAATTATTCTAGTTTACATGTATAAAGCAGTGGATTTCAGTTCCAGGAAATTAAGTTTCTTTAAAGATCATAATTTAAGATAATAAGTGGGCACTCAAAAAAATTTTTTAAATGATATTATAAACATTATTTAATTTTACTTTATGTGAAACTAATTGATTAGAGTAAGACTAGAAGAAAATCAAAATATTTTTGAGGTAAAAGAGTTTCATTCAAAAGGCAATACAATTTATACTACTTTCCTTTCAAAATTGGTAAGCAGCGATAAGGACCGAATAAAAGAGTGTAGATGAGGGGTTTGGGGAGGGCATATATTCATGAAAGCCCCAGAATGACAAAACTAGATACTAAATTTTTTAAAAACCAGAAAAAGAAGTTGACATTTGCAACATTTTAAAGGAAGATGTATTAGAGTGCTAGAGTTAGTCTAAAAGTCTATACTCAATTTTTATGTAACTCCCATAAAAGAAGAAACATGTATATATAATACATTTGCGTATTTAGTAGATAATTCTCATAGGACTTAAAGATAGGAAAAGGCATATGATCTTGCAGCATATGGAAGTGAAAGTCTTGACATTGACTGGAGTAAGAATATAGTAGATGTGAACTTTGGATAATAGGAAGTCACAGTAGAAATGAAACCATTTGATAGTATTTATCATTCAGATATTTATTGAGCACCTGTTTATTAAGCCTGGCAGTGATATGATGTAGCAACATCTTTGAGAAGTTGTATTTCCATTTATATTATTAATAAGGATATTACTATCCCATTTACCGCTCTAGCCATACCTTTTACCATTCTTCAGTCTTTTAAAATTGCCTTATTTCTTGTTTTTATTCTTTTTTTGCCTATCAGCCTTTGTAGGTATTCTTTTAAAGCTTTCTCCCCATCACTTTCTAGGAAATTCCTATCTATTCTTCAAACTTGGTTCGGACTTATGTCTTCTTTGAAGCTTTCTTTTAATTACTGCTCCTATTCCCACAGCACCCCAACCTAAGTGAGCATAGCGCAAGAACTTCAGAGTAGCCATCCTATATTGCTGTTTTGTATCTACAGCAGGAGTCCCCAATCTCGAGGCCGTGGACCAGTACCAGTCTGTGGCCTGTTAGGAACTGGGCTGCACAGCTGGATGTGAGCGAGCAGTGGGCAAGAGAGCGAAGCTTCATCTGTATTTGCAGCTGCTCTCCAGTGCTAGCTAGCATCACTGTCTCAGCTCCACCTCAGATCTTCAGGCATTAAATTCTCATAGGAGCACTGGTCCCTGGTGACAAAAAGGTTGGGGACTGCTGATCTATAGCACCTAAAACAATGCTTGATGCCTAGTAGATGCTCAATAAATTTTCCATGGTGAAACAAATATGGCAGAAATATTTAACTAGATGGAATATATATATTTCTCTGTGTCTGTGTGTGCATGTGTGTGTATAAATAATATACTTTGTGTTAAGATATATTAACAAAGGAAATGTATATCCAGCAAATGTTTATTCAGGTGCTACAGAAAAGTCAAAAGAAAATGCATTTTGTAGCAATAAGTAACTTCTAATTTAAGTGTAACTCTCTTTGTATAGAAGTTCTTAAGAATTTTTGCCTTGAAGTTTTGATGTTGGACTGTGGACCTAGGGCTAACTATGTGGCATGGGCAACTTCAAAACTTTAACAAACCCTTCTAGAGTTTTCCCGTGCTGCTTAATATCACAATATTTCTGATTTATTTTATTTGACTATATTTACTGAAAAACGCTTATTTTAATTTGCAATCTTTCTTTTGTCATTTTTTTTTTTGGGAGCTGTCGTAGAAGCTGTAAAGTCAGCCCCGAAGGAGGCTCAAGATTTCTTCAGAAGAGAATATATACTAAACAATGCCATTGGTATGTGTGCTCTGCTGAGAGTTTGAAAATGGAATCAAGAAAAGCAGCACAGTATGAGTTATTAAAAATGTAATAGACACACTTATTCAATCTTTTATATACAACATGCCATGCCTAATTAAATTTGATTAAACTATTCTGACTGCTTATTCCGAAACAATTCACACTTTAGTATTAGTAGGCTATACTTAACTACTATTTATCTTACAATTGGTATGAAAACATAGACTCTGATCATATTGATGGCTTTCTTGGAAAACAAACTTAGGTCCTAGTTTTCTCTAATTCTTGAACCTTGGGATGAAAATTTCTTTATGGTCAGTGTTTCAGATTTCACTGAAGTAAAGCAGTACTTTCATCGAGAAATGTGTTCCTGATGTTAAATTACAGGGAATAATTTAATAAATACTTGTATACTCACCAGCCCAGAATGAACAGACATCGGTGTTTTATTTTTCTTGATGTTTTAAAATTTGCATCAAAGAAATATACAAGTTTTAAAATTACAGTTCAGCCTACTTTGTTTCTTAGTGCCATTTCTTTCTCTCCCCAGAAGCAACCATTGTCATTACTTTATAGTGTATCGCTCTAGACCATACTCTATATTTTTACTACACGTTTATGAACAAAAATAGTATTACTTTGTGTATTCGAAATTTACATAAATACTGTGTTACTGTGTAATTCTTTAAGTTGTTTTAACAGCATGGAACGAAACTTCTATAGTACTCAATATTATGAATATATCCCACATTACTTATTATTCTGCTTTAGTAGATAGTTTAGGTTATTTCGAATTTTTACTAATACAGATTGTTGCACCTTTATATATACCCCGTTAATGCCCATGTGCAGAGTTTCTCTAGAAATCAGAATGAATGGATCATAGAGTTTATACATCTTTGTTTCCAAATTCTTCTCTAAGTCCAAGACTTTATTTTCTACTTGTTTTTTGCATCTTTTTTTTTTGTTGTTAATCTTTGCATGTTGAGTATTGTTTGTGGTTTTAATTTGAATTTCATTGAACACCGGTGAGGTAGAAGGTGTTTTCTTATGTTAATCATTTCGATTTTCTTTCCAGTCTTATCCTTTGTTCATCTTTCTGTGGGATTTTTTTTTTGTCTTTTTACTGATATTTTTGGACTTTATATATTCTGGATTCTTCCCTTTTGTAGATTACACATATTACAAGTACACTTCTCTCAGTCTGTTACTTTATCCTTTGGTATATGCATGTTTTTATTTGATGAGATAAAATGTATTCATTCTTTTCCTTTGTGATTTTTGCTTTTTTTGTATTAAAAAAAACCTCTCCACTTAACCCTGAGGTTATTAAGATACTGTCTCATATTTTCTTTTAATAGTTGGAATATTTTATTTCTTTGTACTCTAAGTATTTAATATACTTGGAAATTTTTTTGCATGTGACATCTAAGTCATATTCTAGCCAGAAAGTGAGACATTGCCATACCTTTTATTTTTAAAAAGTGTATGCCTTTCTCATTGATTTTAATGATTCCTCTGTTCTTATATATGACCATGTCTGTTTCTGGGCTACTTTGTTCATTGATCTATTTGTACTTATATTGAAGAAACTACAGTGTCAAAATTATTACAACTTTAAGATATGTCTCTATATAGTAGGAAAACTTGCCCTTGTTTTTTTTTTTTTAGATTGTCTTGGTTGCTCTTGGACTTTTGATCTTCCATATGAATTTTAGAATTAGTTTGTCTGATTCCACAAAAGATTCTGTTGAAAGTTTGATTGGCATGATAATGAATTTTAGGTTAATTTTGGGGCAGTTAATATGTCTGATGTTGAGTCCACTGATTAATGTGGCATATCTCTGTTTATTCACATAGACTTAAAAAAACTTATGGAATTATAATTTATATACTATAAAATTCACCCATGTCAAATATACAATTCAATAATTTTTGTAAACTTGTGCAATAACCATCACCATAAACCAATTTTAGAACATTTTCATTGAATTGACTTTCATGTCCTTTCATAATGTTTTGTAATTTTCTCCATAGCTTCCTGTTTTTAAAAAATTTCATTCTTAGATAGCTTCTGTTTTTTGTTACTACATTTAATGATATTTTTTCCTGTTACATTTTCTAATCGACTATTTCTGGCATATAGAAATGCTTTTGATTTTAATATTTTGTTCCTATACTCTGCTGAAATTTATTAATTCTAGTGTGATTTCTACAGTTTCTCTTGGCTTTTCTACTAGGCAGTTGTATTATCTGCACATAATTTTTTCATCTTTTTCCCAATCCTTATATTTATGATTTTTCTTGTTATATTTTGACTAGGACTTCTATTATAATATTGTATGATTATAGTTTTGTCTCATTTTTGATGTCCATTGCAAAGTTTTAAAAATTTCATTCTTTAGTGTAATCTTTTTGTAGACAATTTTTACCAAGTTATGGATGTTACTTCTATTTCAAATTTGTTAGGGATATTTTATTCAGTTTTAGTGGTGGTGGTTATTAGCCAGTACTTGAACATCTACTATCTCTGTCTTTCCTCTGCTAGGCGGGAACTTAATTGAGTTCCTGGATCAACAGGGAGTTTTTCTAGTCATGTTTTACAAGTTGAATAGCTTGTCCTAATAAGAGGCTTTGTGCAGGTAGCTCATTGCATAAAATGTGGGTTCCAGAATTTATTCCCAACTGAAAACAGAGGCACACCACACACACTCAGTAATAATCTTTGGCTGTAGCTTACACTCAGCTATTGACTTTGGGTTTCTTATTTGTTTCTGGCACATAGGAATTTCCCTTGTTTGGCTTGGATAACATTTAAATTTTATTTTCTCTATAATGTCTATGTCTTTGAAGTAGGAGTGGGAGAAAGAGGCTGTTTCCCACTTTAGCTCAGTGAGCCAAATCTAATGGACATCTCTCACTCGTTTGACTCTAAAATTCCAATATATCAAATTTATTTAGAATGTTCTAAAAATTTATATCAGCATTGTCCATTAGGACTTTCTGCAGTGAGTGAAAATATTCTGTATCTGAGCGATCCATTCTCATAGCCATTAGCCACATATGGCTAAGAGCACTTGGAATGAAGCTAGTGGATCAAGAAACTGAATTTTAAATTTTATTTAATTGTAATTAATTTTAATTTAAATAACTACATTTGGCTAGAGGCTACTATATTAGTGTAGTTCTATATTAAATAAAAGATGGAAAAAACCTCTAAGAAGTTTGAAAAGAGAGTTTGGTAAAATGTTAATATACAGAAAGGAAGCTTTCAAGATATAATTTCTATACATTGTAATGACATATTTTGGTCTCTGTGTTGTAATGACATATTTTAGTCAGTAAGGAATTTCACAGATTCTGGCTTTATGTCCTGTACCAATTAGTTTCTAATATTCCATATCTGATATATATGTTATCTATAGCTGAAGTGGGGTTTGTGTGTGTGTGTGCGCACACGCTTTTCAATCGATAGAGAAATTTCTTCCCATAGATTCTAGGGAGTTATAGTTCAAAACTGAGGGCTGTGGAAGTCTTTGTGGATGTGAAATTAGGTCTGTGCTTTGGTGGCTCATTTGGAAAATTGGGAATATTTATAGAGTTGTTAGATGGATCAAAACTGTAGTCTTATGTTGGTCTTTGATAAGAAAGTAATATTGGCAACAAGCTGTAACAGAAACTCATTACTTTACATTTTATGTTGTGGGCAGTTCCCCTACTCAGGAAAAACAGGAACAGTAAAAGTTGACAAAATTTTTGAGCTGGAAGGAACTTCGAGGCCGTATATTAAAATTAAGTCTTGTCATGTAAGAGATGAGGAAACTTATCTATGTATCATATATATGATATACATATATATGATATCCATATTGTATGTGTTGTATGCATACACATAAATTTGTATATGCCTAATGTCAGTATACATATTGAATATTGGTAAATTGCCAATTAATGACAAAGCTGAGGCTACAATCTGGGTCTTCTAAGTTCAGTCCATGCTTTTTCCTTTATGCTATACTTCTCTTTGTATTCAGATATTATAGATGTGTAGAAAACAAATTATGGTCTTTAAAATACAACTGTGTACATAAACATCAGCGGCTTATAAGGCAGTGGTTGATTATATTTATCAGTAGCTGAATTAGTTAAGACTTTCATGTGTTTCAAATTGAAATGTTGAATTAAATGATAATAAACAGGATTATTTATGGATTGACATTTGAAAATGAAGATATTTTTCAAGCTATACATTTAGTCTCCCTTGATGTTTCTTGCAAGAATTTTCTTGAGAAAATACTCAGAGTTCACGTAATATGATTTTTGGAAAATATGAATGTATTTTAAACATTGCAACTAATTACAGTTCTATTTCTTTTAGGTTCTTTCCAGAAACCATATGTTGCACTTATTCATGGAATTACAATGGGTGCGGTAAGTAGACGATTTTACTCTCATCATTAATATGTGAGCTGTATTAAAAATAAGTTAATTATTAAGTGGAATTGACATGATGAATATAGTACAGTAGAACTTTTTGAAACAAAATCATGTTTGGATTTTGGAACCTTTCCGGTTTGGGATATAATATGTACTTATTGCACTTTTAAACTCTCTCTACCCTAAAGAATATGTTCTTAATTATGTTATATGCTATTTTAGTTTCTTGAAATAGCAAGCTTTTTTTAACCAACAGAACTCATTGAATTTTTTAAATGTATAACCTTTTTTTCTGCTTAAATATAAACTGATTACTTCAAACAGCTTCAGAAGAGAAACCGAAATGTTGAATTTTTTTTAGACTGAATAGTGGGGATGTGGCTGCCTAAATTATATCTGTTGCACGAAATCTCACCTTAGTGAAAGTAATTGGATATTTTGTGAAGTTCTCTGAAACTGCATTTGTCAGTTGACAAAATTTATTTTGAGTCTGTACTATTACAATAAATTCTTAAATGTCATTGGCCTTGAATAACTTGATAATGGAGTTGGAGAAAACATGAAATAATTACAGACAAGTGGTAAATTGTATGGCACTGACTAAAACAAAGACAAACCTTTAAAGAAGAGAGGTCAAACTGAGTCTTCATGGCAGGAAAAGGTAGGTTTTAGGTAGGTAGTAGGAAGCCAAAGGATAGAATTTTAAACATTTCACCTGTTCTAATGTTTCAGCTATTTAATCATTGGGAATAGAAGTCCTCTTTTTTCTAGTAGATCCACAGCAGATGAAGCCTGTTGGGCACTGAGAATTGCTTAGATCTTACACATCATTTTGGGAGGGGATTCCACAAGCAGCTGTGGTTAGAAAGTAGGATCAAGGGCAGTCTATACCTCTCTGCTCACTGTTAACAGATACTGAGCATGATTTGATTGTTCTTTCTTTGCCAAGGAAGTGTTAAAATGGGGAAAATAAGAGCTCCCTGAAAAAATACTGCACATCAAGGGGAAGGAAAATAGTCTGGAGCATTGAAGGAAGAACTGCTCTGTGAATGAGAGAAGAACTGAATGAGAAAGGAACCAGGAAGAAACTGAAAACAAAAAACATGGGCATACTTAATAACATGTAAAAAGATGTGGCCCCAGCAAAATAGGAAAAACAACCCATAAGGAGACAAGATGAAAGGTTACCACGTTGAAAAGGGGAGCCAGGTAACATGAAGAAAGATGACTGGAAACTAAAATGCTATAGCAGAACTGACATTCCACTTTGAAAGCAATATATTAGAAGGAGTCAAATGTAATATTATAAATACTGAATTTGTGTGTGTGGAAGACAAACTTAGGAAGAGCTCTCATCAAAAAAGGACAAAGATAAAATGATGAGAATGAACATTTTCAGGCAGTAAATGTGAAAAACTGGGAACCCAACAAAGGAATCATAAATACTACATAGAAAGTAAATCAAACTCTTGGAACAGAAATGATTGTCAGATATAAAGATGACAATTAAAAACAAAAAAACTCTCTAACCTGAGGTATATAATATTAGAGGACGCACAGTATTCCAGATAAAATCAGTGAAAAGAGATCCATACCTAATTAAAAGCTCAGTTAAGTTTCTTTAAATTACAGGCTTTAAGGAAAAAAAAAACAAAACAAAAACTGCAAGTGTTCAGGCCAGGGAGTAGGGGTGAAAGGGTGGTTAGGGAATACAGGTTATGTATAATGGATTGAGGAAGTTATGAAATAAAATAATTCAGACCCAAGAGTTTCCTACTCAATCAAGTTGTCATTTAGTATAAATGTAAAAGAAAAAATATTCTCAGAAATGAAAGGGCTTGAAAAATATATTGTTGACTTACCATTTTGTAAAATATTTTATTAAACATTTGATCTAGTTGACCCAGGGATCACTCAAATTTAGTAACAGAGACTAGTTTTGATAAGAAAGTATTGGTGAACCTCGCTTTGGTACTGTCAGTGGACAGAACTTCTTTTTATAGGGGCCTGAGAAGAAGAATTATTGCTGTAGCATTCCACATCTGAATGAATTGGCCATGCCTTTTGGCTTTCATGACCCATATAGGTCCGTACAGTGTTTGCATACATTCCTATGTATGTTACAGCTAAGAATGCTCCATTTATTTCTAAAGACTGCAGTAAAACAGAACAAGATAATATTAGCATGAATGGAAGGAGTAAGGGTGATGCTGCTTCTCCTTATTGGTCTGTGTTTTCTGTATTGACTTTAAAGAGTATGAATGACTTTCAAAATGAAAATGAAAATATACTTTCTGTCATCCTTTCTTAACCAGAATACTACCAGGGAATTAAATCTTAGTGTCCTAAGGCAGTGGTTTTCAAGGTGTTATTCCTGTACAGTTTCAGCTGCACTTGGGATTTTGTTAGAAATACACATTCTTGGGCCCTACTCCAGAGTCACATTGTAGAGGTGGAGCCCAGTAGTCTGTTTTAACCAACCTTTCTAGTGATTTTGAGTCATGTTAAGTGTGAGAACCAGTGACCCAAGATATCTATTGTATGTAATGAATTAACTTTTTTCCTATTTCTGTCCTGTGCTTCAACAATGGTACCAGTTTTATACCATCCTTGAGAAAATTGAGAAAATAGTCATTTCATGTGCAGTAATATGTGGTTCAAATGAGGAACTCCTCAAAGAGAAAGGTTCTTTTATTGTCAGCTCCCCTAATAAAACCTAAATTTTTTTTTCTCCAATTGGATCTGCCCATATACGTGCTCCAGATATACTCTATATATAATTCATCCTTAAAGACAAAAGTTCTACCCTATTTTTTGACAGTCTTAAATACTACTATGATGAGATATGATTTCTTCCTTCCGCTGACTCAGTGCATTCAATCTGTACTCCAAATTTGGCATTCATACTTGATTGTTATTATGAAATATGCCCAAGTATATTCTGTGGTCTGTATGGCAAGGACCTTACCATAACTAGGAATGCACAGTACATACTTAATAAATTATTAAAACAGTCCTACTCTATATAATAATCAACATCTTGTGTAGCCTAGAAAGAGAAAAATTTACAGATGGGAGGTGAATTGGCTCTTTATTTTCGTAATGAGATTTTATATGTATGTTGGCTTCAAAGGCTAATTTTTCATGTCTCATTTGCAAACTTTGCTTAATCTGGGACGTTCAGTGAACTCCAGCTTTTGAATGTAATCTGCCAGATCAGCAGCTCTCAACCTTCGTTGTATTTTAGAATCACTTGAGAGTCTTTTAAAAATCCTAGTGCCCAGACTTTACTCACCTCCCAGAACCATTTAATCAGATATTGGAGTGGGACCCTGGCATTATTAAAGCTCCCTGGTGATCCTATTGTGAAGTTAGGGTTATGAAGTGCTGATCTACTAGCAGTTCTTAACCAGTGTATGATTCAGTGTTACCTGTGGATCTTTTTCAGAACTTTCCTAAGATAGTGGCTCTTGCAGTTTAGCTTCTATCAGAATCATCTCCAGATGATTGTTAAAACAGATGCCTCTTCCTACTCCAATTTGCAGTTTAGTCATTTTGAAGTGTGGCCTGAGAATTTGCATTTGTACCAATTCCCAGAAGATGCTGATGATAGTGGAGTTACCTCACTTTAGGAACCACTACCATAAGGTGTTGAAAACACGGAGTTTGTTATTCAAAAGCCCTTTATTTTCAGATTTTTAGTAGAATTTTAGTTTTATGCTTAATTATGTAATAATTATTTTAGAATATTTAATATATACTATATTTTAATATATATTTTAATTATATTTTAATAATTGTTTTTAAACCCTAATATGAGAATAAGATAAGGCAAATACAGTTTAAGAAAATGTATACAAATAATAATTGTCTCTGTCTTTATCACCTCCCTCCTCAGTAAATGAAACAATTTATAATTTAAGAAAGAATTTTGTTAAAACATGAACATTCCAAAAGATGGCACCATAGAGCTTGATTTTTCTTTTATTTTCACTATAGAAAATATTTTTTTCCAGAAAGGAAAAGGACAGTTTTTTACTGTCTCGTTATTCCCCATGAAGAGTAGCGTAACACTTTGTAGAGGGGATGGTTAATTCTATTATGTTTCAGATTTCAGAAATTCGAACATTTACTTAAGATTTTGGTATACAGTAGGATAAAAATGAATGTTTCTGAGTGCTTCTCCAGTTGGTTGATCAAAATTATGTAAGAATATATTATTCCAGTGTTTCCAGAAGAGAGAAACAAATTTTTTTATGAATCGCAATTTGAAAGAGTAGTTGATTCTGTTTCCTAGGAAGACAGATTTTTAATTTCCTTTACCCTTTAGATATCTGAAGTTCTGTTTTCTCAAGTTAATATATAACAAGCAAATTTGCTTAAAAATTTTAATTATAAATGTTTATAGAAAAGAGAAAAATCCTTAAATTTTTATTCCGTACCTTTAGTACCACCCACATTTCCCTTCTAACTGAATTGAATTTAAAGAACTTTTAAGTTTCTTTCTCCCTCCTTCCTTTTCTTTTCTCTCTGTCCATCGCATTTTATAATAGAAACAAAGTTAGCTCCCCCAAGCCAATTCAAAATACAGATGCAATATGGTATTTCTGTGTTTCTCAAAGTGTCTTTAAGATGCTACTAATAAAAGGGTTTTGTGATCAATTCTTACATAATGGAAAATTAAAAGTTTTAAGGCATATTTAGAAGGGGTATGTTCTAATGATTAAAGAAGTGGGAATTGGAATAGAAATAATGAACATATATAATACCCAAAAGCCTTTCTTGGGATACAAACCAACCACATGGAAAATTTACTAGTGCTCAATCAAATAAATGGTAGCTACTGAATCAGATTAAGATTAGTCACTGATTGAGACATGTCCTTTTCTTATGAAAAAAATTAAGGTCCTCAAGATTGAATTATGTTAATGTATCACAAGGGTCTGTATGACATAAGAAGTACATCTTTGCTCAGTTTTAAAAGGTGTTCTATT